GTAATGGTAATTGACTGTGTGCAGTGATATCTTGTGGATGATCAGATTGAGAAAATTATAAATAATGAGCAGCGTGTGTTTGAGTGCACACTGCCCTTGCTTGTCATTTGGGATAGTTTGCATTTGTAATAGATTGTATTCAAAAATCAAGTAATGATTATTATTTCTTCAATTAATTCAAGTATTTGTTTATGTATTTATTTTGGGTACTGATCATTTAAAAACATATTTTTTCTTCACGTTGCTGCGGCGTACTATGGATATCTGTGATGGATCCACACAACATTACTAGGACAACAGAGAGCAATAAGTTTCTTCCCATGAAAGAAGCAGACGTATCATCTCTGTGCTTTGGAACTGGCTTGGATGTGTGGTAACAGATCTGGAACAGGTGACTGCACATTGCAAAGTTTGGTTAAAGCTCATTGCAACAAAAGGCGCACCACAACAAACTTAATCCAGCGTCTAAAACAAAGGCCTCCAGCTGAGTGTGGGAAATGGCAAGCTTTGTGAGGGAAGACTCCGACAACCAACAAACTCCCGCTTAAAAGCAGCTTACTGTGGAGAAGTCATTTACCCAATGCAGCGTGAATGATAAGAAAGGGGCGAGATGGAGAGCGATCACTGACTGAAGCGGTTGCTTTGTACATCGCTACAGAAATGGAAACCAAATATAGATTGGAAAAGACCGTAGGTATGTGGTAGGTATGCGTGTGAGAAAATTAGCAGAAAATTTGAGGGCGTGTCATTTTATTCTGCAATGCCAGAATGAAGTCCAGCTGAACCATGCAGCCAGACGTGCACTAGACGTCACATTTTATCGGCAACGACTAGGCTCTCCAAAGTCTTTAACCGCCAAACAGTGTACTTTCCAGATGATCACAAAGGTGACCTTATCGCTCAGGGGTTGAAGAACTCTCTGCGTTCCTGGAACCTGTTTAGTCCTCGTCTAATAGGCATGAGTGAAAGAGTGGCCGACTCCAGTGCTTTGGAAACAAACTGCACAACACGATTGGTAAATCAACAATAAGTCAAAATAGTGAGGTGAAAAAGTGTTTGCCCCCTAATGATTTCATTTTTTTTTTTTTTTGGCATGTTTGTTGTCATGATGTGTATTTGGACTTTTAAATTATTTTGAATACATTTAGTTTTGCTTCATGTTTTTGTCTTGTTTTCTTCTCTTGTTTTCCATCTGTGCTCATCAACCTGGTCCCTTTTGTCTACCAGTCAGCTCCTTCAGCCGCTCGCGTGTTCCTCATTGTCTCGTTAGTTTGCTTGTTTATAGTTCCCTGGTTGCTTTCAGTCATTGTTGGTTCATTGTTTGTTGTTACTGTAAGATGTCACGTCCCCATGTCATGGTGAGTTTAGTCAAATGAAAAAACTTTGCATAATGACTGACCTGCAAATCCTCTGCATTCCACTCTCCTACCTCTTCCCTGGCATTGCCCCACAAGCTTCTGGTTTTTGGATCGCTTCCATTCGTTTGCCTGATGCGGTCCTCCCGTGGAACCATTAGTTCAATGAGAATGAGGTGCCTTTAAGAGATGGACGAAAGCACAATGTCTGACCTCATTGAGGTACATTAGATGTGTTGTGGGAACTTGACTTGCTTGCCCAGGTCTGTTCTTAGCTGCCAGTCTGATGCTGGATTGAGCAGACTGGTTGCTATTTTGGGCTGTGGCTGCTCTCCTGCCCTCATGAAGGTGATGCTCATCTTGCCATGGTGTTTATTGGTATTATTTTGACTGGTTACTGCCTGGGTGATGGCTTCAGCTACTGTCCTCAGCACCTGGTCATGCCGCCAGCGATAGCAGCCCTCGCCCAGTGCTTTCTGGCAGCTGCTGGGGATATACTCGAATTAACCTCTCCAAGAGTATAGTACACATGCTGGGGATTCTCCCTCGCTCTTAACTGTGCTGAAAAAGACACTGTATACTGTTTGGATGATGAACCTGATGCGCTGGGCCCCTCTTGCCCGATCTCATGTCAGGACACCTTCATGTCCAGCGCCCACTTCTCATCTAATCCAGGCTACCTACTGCTCCATGCCACCATCCTGTGAGTCTGCTGTTCCCTTCTTGTAGTGAGACTCAGGAAATGCCCCAACCCTGCCTGCCCCAATGCCACCAAGCACATTAATATCCTGTACGTCAGTCGGGACTCTGCCACCTCGAGGTCTTCCAGGGCTTTCCACTTACTGCCTGTTGGAACCTCTATGCTTGCCGATTAAACTTTAGAGTCCCTGGAGTCCCGATTCTGTATCCCTCTCTATTTTGATAGACCTTCTTGTCAAGGGAGTGGGAATTTGTTGTTCTTCCCAGACAGTAGCTAATGATCTTTCGCTTCAGGATTTCCAAAGGTGACATACACCAACAAAGGCCAGAGAACCCAGAGCAGGACACCATGCTGGTAGATGGACGCCTTACATTTACCAGATAAACCAGACTTTTCTACCGGCGCCAGCCACATATTAAGATTCTCTATGGTGATTTGGAGAGCTGCTGTGTTCCTGAGGCGACAAAAAAAGATCTTGCCTAGGGTCTTAACTGGTTTGTCAGTGATAGAAGGGATTGCTGTGGCATGACAAACAAATGAAACCTGTCTACCACTTTGTCCTTCTTCAGCACCGTGGCACTGGATTTTGTTGGTTGAAAGCTCATCTTTGCCTAGAAGATGAGATTTTCCAGGCCCTGGAGGATCCATCTCCCACCAAGCACTCATGTTGTGGTAACAGTCAGGTCATCCATAAAGACTCTGATGGGGTATTGTGAAATGCCAGATGCCATGGAAACTGGGCCTTTGCATTCTACTTCAGCGGCCTTTGCCACCAAGTTCATATAAAGGGCTAAGAGACGAATTGAAATGGTGCACAAAGTTATAATGCCCCTTTTGACCTGATGCCAGTCTGACATTATACTCCCAGAAGTGACTCTGAGTTTGAAGTTCCTGAAGTAATTCAAGATAAGGTCCTTGACCTTTCTGAGAACATGATGTCGGTCCAGGGAAGTCTCCACCAGGTTGTGAAGTATGGAGCCATTTGCACTGGCCAGGTCAAGCCAAAGCACTACTCCATTTCCCTCCTGCGCCTCCCTGATCAAATCAGATGAGCAATAACTCCAGTGTGTTCTATATACTGTGTGTTCTCCCTGACACACCAGGGATGCCGCTTTTCTGGACTGAGGTGTCAACGGAGGTGTACTTGAGGAGGAAATCTGTCAGCTTTCTGGATATAATGCAAAAGAAGATTTTCCCCTGAACGCTGGGAAGCAAGATAATATAATCAAGAGAAACACTGTTTTTGTATGTATGCTTGAGTGTGTGTCTGTGCCTGTTTGACATTTGGGTTTATAAAGTTAGTTGGTATAGAAGAAAATGGAACCCATGTTTGACATGTAGACCAGGATGTATTTTGATGTTAGTAATGTCCTAATTGTGATGTCTGACCTCTAATTAAACGGAAAATGATGTTAATGGTTCTTGCATAGTATGAGTTATTGGAATTTGCAAGAAGGATGTTGCTGCTTTTACTTTCAGCTGGAAAAAAAAGAAGAGAGCTGTGTGAGGCACAGTCATAGCTTGGCCTGTCCTCTCATCAGTGAACAGTCCCCAACCAGACAGGGCTCACGCCACAAAATGACAGGGTGATTCCTCAAAAGAGAAGGCCGTAACCCGTGTCCTAGGGTCTGATAAGAAAAGCCGACACGTTGTGCTTACTTGGCAAGACCAGTAAATCAGTAAATAAGGCAATCAATCTACTATACGACTTTAGCTAATATAATGTCAGTGGAAAGGTGAGTCACTGTCTTCTCCACTAAAACTGTTATCCTATTGTTCAAAACCAGTCTTTTGCTGCCTGAGAAAGATGACAATGAGTTTAATAAAGCAATAAAAGCGAACATACTGGGATAGCAATCGAGCATACAGTGCGCCTGAAAAGGATGAACTCATGGACATGACCTCTCTGATGTACCCAAGGTTTCAGACAACCTACGTTGCCCCAAAGAGGGACGAGTAAAAACAAGACCTACATTATCAATGAATTACTGTCTTTCTTCACTGAAAAACTCTTACTGCAGCCTGGTCTAGTTGTGCAGGTGGACAAAGAAGAGACAAGGCCTAAGTCAGGCCCCAAGTGGGGAAAAAAAAAAAAACTTCAAGAAGAGTCATGTGCCAACCTCTGACTAGTCGCAGACAGATAAAATAGAGACTGAGCTACAACCTATTTCAGGATTTTTCCTGCGTTCAAAACTGCGTGGCAGCCGCCTCCAGCTAATTTTGTGCCGTCCTTAGCCAGACTGATTGATATTGCTCAAGAAAGAGGAAAGCTCCAGCTGTGCTGAGTGAGGGATTGATGTCCCTCTACGACAGCTTTGTATTTTAACTGCAGTTGCAGTGTTTGACCACTATGGAGGCGCTATATCAACAGCGCTGCACAGGAAAGATCTGAAGCAATGGTTCATGTCCTCGTTCTCTGAGCTCCGGTACACCTCTATGTGCTGCGCAAACGCACGTCAAGTGCCACCCCAAAACACACCGCAAACTTGGGATGCACGATAAATATCCGAACGGAATGACGTCAATAAATCTAATAACATTTAAAAAATAATGTTATCTGACAGCCAACGGAGACAGCTGTGCTGTCAAGAAAGGAAAAGTACAAACCTTTTGCCAGAGGAGGCAAAGGCTCAAACGATGCGATCTGATTTCACCATTGACATTTTGGATGCTTAGTAAATAATCTTGTAGCATCAACGACTTTTGTGGGCTACTAAACCACTTGCCGCGTATAGTTTAGCCTTCCGAGCTGCGGTTATCTTCTAAAACAGGAGTTGTCATGCTTCTGCATACCCTGACAGAAGGAAATAAGGACACGAGCCTCACTTCTGATTTATGGTCGAGTGACGTCAGCCATGTTAGCTTTGCTAGCTCGCGTCAAGTCATGGACTGCAGTGCTCACTTCTGCGTTTACAGACCCCCCCCACACACACACACGGACGTACTACTGCGCTGAATCGTTGAGCTGGTACTCCCGAGCCCGGCTGAAACATTCCTGGATACCCGAGTCGGACCAGAGACGCATCATGGAGGAGAGCAGTTCGCTGGAGTAAGGCTCTGTGTCCTCCATACGGCTAACTACATCACACACCATCTTGGCATCCGCCTAAAAGGAGACAAAAGAGGGGAAAATAATGTCATGTAAAAGTCTCACAAGGATCAAAGTGCTCCAGCATTAATAAACATCAATTTCATCAAAATGTAATAAGTGGTCAAAAACAGACTTCCTTGTCCGATATCATTGACAGAGAAGTTCAACTATGATGATTAGAATGAGTGTGAATTTCGAGTAGAGAAAAGGAGCAACCATTTTCTCATTCCAAAGACATGCATCTTGAATTTCAAAGTTGTACATTGCCAAGTGATGAGAATGTGAGTATGGTAGGCTTGTTTGTCTATTCAGTTCTGTATGTCCCCTGATAACCAATCTTGCCCAACGTCCCAACTTAGTCAGCAGGGCTGGATCTGCTTACCCATGACCGTAACAGACAAGTGGTGGCAAACAGTTGGGTAGATGGAGAAATGAGCCAACCTAAATAAAAATATCACAAAAGTATGGCATACTGAAAAGTATTCATACTGAAATAGCAATGGGCCTGTTGAATTGAACACACAGCTGATGTACATGCGGGGAAGTTGTGACCATATTGGAAACACCAGTTCATTGTCACTTCTGCCATCTGTTAGAAGAGGATTTAGTCATTTTGCCTGTCACTATCCTGTATGTAACTGGAATAGAGTGATGAGCAAAGATATATTTGTAATTAATAAATATTTTTTACAGAAATGAAGTGAATCTGGATTGTGTCCCATGGAAAATCTAAGGATCTCTCGTGTGCACGTGGGAGTGCCAAGGCCCTCTGTTCTGTTTAAAGGTAAGGTGGACCCCTGCAATTACCAGGGAATACGGACCAGGCCAGACAGCAAATATAAAAAATCTGAGGACAAATATAGCCGAGTGATGAGTGAGGTCCAAAGTTCTTTTAGGGAGTTCAACAATATGTGGTGTACTGTGTGCCATAAACTATGCTATTCATCCGCCCATAGCCTCTTTGGTCACAATGGAATTTCATCAGTTGTCTCTACATAATTACAGCAGGTTTACTATGGCTTTGTCAAATTGCTGCCAACCTTTGACGTGGTCACGACAAAAACGAACAAGCCGTCTGACTCTTTTTTCCCCTCGTGTCCTCTCTAATTTCGAAAGTTGAAATATGCCTTTGATGTGAGACAAAGGTTACTAAAAACTGAAGATTCATATTTAATGAGCACAGCCTTGCCTTGTCATTACTGCTGAAGAGCCTGTTACATCGCATTATTCCCACTGCTTCTTGACCTCAGCTCCTTGTTTCCTCTTGTTTAAAAAAAAACACTCCCAGTGTCCAACTCACCTCCACCTGTCATAAAGTCATCCTCTGTTTTCTTGTCTTCTCCATGTATCACGTTGTGCTTTCATTTTTTTGTTTTGCAAGCCCCTTCACCTTTCTGCTTTTGTCCCATTACTCACAGGTCTTGATATACGGCATTTCAATCACCATTTCAGTCTGCACCTCTCTCTCAGTTACCTATACTCTTGTTTTATGCACCTACACATCAGTCCTTTTTGATATACTTCTGCCACATATTTGCCATGCATCCGTTTTGGAGATCACATATGCTCTCTAGAATCACAGGTAAGCTTATGAGAATTGTAGCTTACTTTGGGTGAGAGGGAAGGTAGCCTGCTATTTGTTTTTATTTTTCATGCAATTTTGTTTGAAGATCTCCATTGCCGGAGAGATATAAGCAAAATGTGACTTTTTTTCCTCCCAAAGTATGAGCACTGTGTGTTGAGGAACTAACTCACCAGTTTGTACTTTACACACTTACACATTGAATAGACAATCACTGTTATGATCATCATCATCATCATCATCATCATCATCATCATCATCATCTTCATTGTTCCTCTCACATTTACTGCAGCCTCTCTACAGTTGTCTCGTTCAACAAACAATCAGAAGTATTGTTAGTTCTGCAGTAAGGGCAATAGCAATTAAGCTAAACCGACATCCCAAATAACAGTGAGGAACAATTATTGTGGTGATGTGTCTTTCACTCTTGAGTCCCAGTCAGACAATCAAAATGAAAGTAAAATACTGGACACCTGAGGATAATGTGCTACCAGTCTCTTCAAATGATATTGTATCTTTCAAGATAATCCCGATAAAGAGCACAACCATTTATGTTGAAAGCGTTTCTGCCCAAACTTGAGTCGGAAGGTAATCAAGACAGCAACATGGGCAGAAACTAAAGAAACCAAGTTAATGAATGTAGATGCAAAACATGAGCAAAACTCATCTGGATCGTAACATAAAATCTTCACACAAACATTGTCTGATCAGTTGATTATATTTGGTTAGACACTGCACACAACTCAGTTGAAAGGCATCCAAGATGTGCCATCGCATTTTGGAATAGGTCCAGGCTGGTCCACTAATAATAAAAGTAGAAGATCTGCTTTCACCGTGGCAATGAGGGAAAACATACGACTGTACTCCTCTTTAGAAGTGAAGGTTGAAAACATGTTGTCGCTTTTTGTGGGGGACTGATATGCTGTTGGCAAAGGAGCAGGAAGGAGAACATCCCATTAGTTCTTTTGGTAGTGTGTTTCAGTTCTTTATGTTTCTGCATGATAAAAGCTCTCCTTTCAGTTTGGTGGCATTTTTCTTGATAGTGGCAGACAAAATGTTTTTTTGCATCTCTTGAGTTCATTTTCATGCCGTGTATTGAATTTGAATTGAATTTGACTTTTATTATTACATAAATCAAGATTATTGAGCATCTTCCCTAAGAAGTCAGGTGGCCTGAAGTCATGGTATTTGCTCCACGTTGTTCCACAGATGGGCTTCTATGGTTGGGCTTCTCCTCCCACAACCCACACGAGCCTTTTCATCACTTTACTGAAGGTCAATCTTTGTCATTAGTCCACAAAACGTTTTCTTATCATGTTCTTTTTGGGGGCCGAATTCCAACCTGCCCCTTTTCAATTCTTCAGCCCAGTAACTTACTTTAACATTACAAAAATCTCACGGCACAACACCAAACGCAAATTTTACACAAGTACTCCATTTACTCCATTTAATTGAACAAAAAGTGACATACATGCAGGAATTTAAGAAAGGCACACACACGCACAGATCTTATATACGGGTGATAATTTTCATTCCATTTCAAATAGTTCAAATTCTTTTGGAGGGGAGTGTAATTTGTACACTTCTTCCAACGATACTAACATGGTCGAATGTCAGCACAAAATGGAGCACGAGTAAGCTCAATCTCCCCGCCTTTAACCAAATCTGCGTTCTCCTCTTTCAGCTGCCGAGGCACCACGACACCATGAGCATGCCCTACTTCGATATACCGTAAAGCTTATAGTTGCTTCTGCTCGGCAACTATCTCACTGGAATGGATTTGATTTCAACAGTTTTTTTTCAGTGTGGGTTAAAACTGAGCTTCAGCTTCCTGCCGGTGATTGATGCTCTCAACACTCTCTTCACAGCCACACAGTGCCTGATATAGAGAGAGAGTGCGTGTGTGCATCTGGAAGTGTGCGAATGAGGTTTGGTGCAAAGTGAAACCTAGTCCGTTTTCTATTTGTACACTTTAAAGTGCTGGGCAGAGGGCCACAGACACACTTAGAAGCACTAAGCAGACAAAGGGTACCATCTTAACAGATCATATTGAACAGGGTCAGTAGTGTGAATGTGAGTGCATCGTGTGTGTATACGTGATGGTGATGATCAGAGGGAGAAGATGACATTTTCCAATAGTAGTACGTTTATTTCGGGGTGCTGTTGTATTGACGTGAGCGTACAACAGACGATGATAGGAATACAGTATTAGGTACTTGAACAAAATGCTGTTTTCTTTTATTTCAGTTCCTGAAAAAACGTAATTTTTGTATGTGGGTGGGAGTTCTTCAAATTGAGATTGAAAAACGACTGCTGGTTTCAGAATCATAATCCCAATCTGATTTATTGGCCAAATATTTAAAACACACTAAGAATTTACTTTCCCAGTTACAACCCGTCCAGAGGAACAAAACAAAACAATGGCCAACATGGGGAGACAGAACGCGAAGCTTGGCGGTTCACTGAAAAGCACCCCGATATCTTAGGTGTCAAAAGTAAACAACAGGGAAGAGGAGGAGAAAAACACCGACAGACTCCAACTAGTCTACTTAAAAAGGTTTGCCCCCCCCCCCCCAAAAAAAATCAACATGTCAGGTATGTTCAAAAGACATACAACAAACCTTGAGACTTAACATGTAGTGAAGGGGAGGATGGAAGTGGTTGACGGGGGAGGGAAGGGACGCGTCACAACCAGTCAGATGAGCAGCTCAGATGAGAGGAGCACTCTGTCAATCAAGAAGGGGACACGTGGGGCTGGAGCGAGTAGGAATCCAATGAAGGCATTGACATAAGAGGGAATGTGTTTTTGTCGTTTGCCTGTGTACGCGTGTTGAGCACCTATGGCTGTAAGGGCAAGCTTTATCAGTCTCGGGCTCAGGAAGGAGTGGTAAGGGGGCTGATCAGAATTCTTGCATCTGAGCGTATTTTTCCATCCAAGGGAAAGTCCAGATAACAGTTGTTTTGGGAACAGGCTGTCCACAATTTCAAAGACCTTTGAAAGTCTTTCAACTTGCTCTTCATAGTGTCAATTAGCCGAATCCTTGATTAATCAATCAATTTATTCCACGCCGGGTCAACTACTCCTTATTCTTTTCCATTTTGCAAAGCGGCTCCAAAACGCATCCACTTTGTGATGGAGTTCAGTCAACGCATGAGTCTGAGTCACCCGTCCCACACCATCCAGAAAGGCCGGCAGATCTTTCCTTCCAATGAAGGTACTCCCGCTGGCTAAATTTTGCGATAGATCAGGAAACTGCCAACTCCAAACAGCAGGATACCTGTTATCTGAAGGCCAATAACGTAGCTGTCTTCTACATCCTCTACGGACAGTATTGTCAGGCAAACCAAACTCCACTTCTGCCAAGGATGTACCAAGCAGCAAATGTCCCAGAGGGGCAAGAAGACTTCCCACCGCCTGTTCTTTTCATTGAAA